CCCGGCGGTGGCGGGGTGTGCCCCGGGGGACGGGGCGCTTGAGGGAGGCAGACCTGCTCTGCGCGGGTCCATCCTGCCGATGTGCTGCCCGGGCAACTGCGGAAGGGAGGTGATGTCGAAGCGGGAGCGGTTCGGCGCTTGTATGCTTTAAAAACTAAAATGAAGTAAATTAAAATTGTTAGGGATCCTTAGGTGGAGGATTTTTTTTAAGTATATTGAGAGAAGACCTGCGCTAATTCTGTGGCACAGAGCATTAAGGAGGCTAATTCTCATGTTTGCTCATTTGTGTGTGGTGTTAATGCAAAGATTAATAAAATGCCAGCATGCGGTGCTTAAAGACCCAAGAAGGATTGTTAAAGCACATAAGTACTGGAGTACTAGCACAAAGTTGACGTGAATCAGCTGAAGCCGTGGCACACGTTTCTGATTGCTGTGCAGTCTGTCAAACGTTCTTGTGTTTGTGCTTGCTGCTGAAGTCCCCACAGAGATTTAGGGTATGGGTTTTTTCGTGCAGAGGGCAATTGGGGTTAAGGGTCATTAACCTTCCTTAATTTATACTTACCTAAACCTGCAAGATCTGGATAGGAATAAAAGCTTTTCAGGTTTCCCGGTTAGAAATCGCTTGGTTTTGATTAGGCTTCCTCTTTCTTACCTGTGATCCTGTAGTTATGGGAAATCGTTAGCTTGTTTAAGCCATTTATTACTTTAGAAATGCATTGCAAACTATAAACTTTCAGTGTCGCAACCATAAGGAAAAAATGCTGGCTTATGGACAAACTGTTCCCTAGGATGCTTACTAGTGTCATTAAAAAAAAAAAATTAAAAAATACTTTGCCAGAGTACAAAAGGAATGCTGAGCCATGTGCACTCAGTGAAAGTAATCAGAATTATAGCATTAGTGATGAGGTATACAAGTGCCAAATGCAACTTCTTTTCGTTTATGAAAAAAAAAAAAACAGAAAACGAACTAACTAGTAAATGATAGTCAAAGTTACTGATTTTCAAGCTGTGGGCAAGGTAACATTAGCTAGAACGTACTTAAGGTTAGAAATTGTAGACATACTCCAGTTGTAATTGTAAACGTGAGTGGTGTTACTTGGAAGTAATTTACTAAGCGTTGTATACAAAGTAATACCTCTGTTTTATTACAGAGAAATACTTTGGAGAAATTCAGATACTGTCCTAGCTCAAAAAGTTGTATCACTTCATAGCAGCTCTTTGTCAAAGCATGAAGATTCTGTATGTTTGGGTTTCAGAGGCAGTTTGGGTCTTACACAGTAGCCATGAAATACCTTCTAAATTTCCTGTTCAGCCTTTGTATTTAAAGTATAAATTTAATCTTTCTGTATTTGTGTGTTAGTTTATGATTTTTTTTTTAATTAGCTGCTTCTGTCAAAATACAAATAAAGTGGGTAGGTGTCAAAACAAATGACATAAGTTACATTAAAGTGTGATCTGTTTTGTAGCCTTAAATTGGAATGTGAGAAACTGGCAAGCGAAAAGACAGAAATGCAGAGGCACTATGTGATGGTAAGCATATTTGGTTTTTCTTTATTTCGGTAAATATCTCCTAATAAAATGTAAGCCAGCGTAAGAAAATAATATATGCTCCTTTATTTGCAGTATTATGAAATGTCGTATGGATTAAACATTGAAATGCACAAACAGGTAAGGCATTTTGTTTTCTAAACCACGAAATCTGCAGTCTGTCTAGTGCATTTAAAAGGTAGCTGTTCTTTTATGTTTGGATGACTGTATCATGTGTCTGAATCAATAGGCTGATTTGTAGCCATGATTAGCGAACCTTTGCCTACCTGCTGTCAGATGAGGTATAAATTAGGTTGAGCAACAAGGCTTTCTTGGTATTGGTACTGAAAGACATTGGCAAAAATAAAAGTCTTGTGTCTGCGGTTTCAAAAATATAATTCAGTGCTTTACATGGTTTTATTGTGTTAGTGTTAGAGCCTGTGATATGTAGAACTGGTCTTATGCATGTGTAGCATATGTAGTGATAGTTGCTCAAATCCTTGCCATTTAAAGGTATGAAAAGATTAGTGACTTGGAAAGCTCTAGCTATGACTATGAGTTTGCAAGTTCCCATAAAATTCACACTTATGGCCACTATAATGGTGAATAAAAAGGGTATTGAGCTGGAACAAGGCACTAAGGACCTCATAAGAGAAGAAAAGCTAAATGATTGCTCAGCCCAGAGGACCCTCAATTGAGTAGTCATTGTCTGCCAAATAAAGCATTAATGGCAGGGTGTAAGTATTCTGTAGATATGCTGACATTCACTTTTTCATCAAGATGCTGGTACAATAAGTCTTTCAGAAATCGATGGCCTCTTAAACAAAATTATCATTAGATGAAGTTGCACAGTTGGACACATTTCAAAGTGCAACAATACAATTCTTTCTTGATGTCTATGTGCTATTTCATCTAAAACTCTTGTTTCATTAAATTAAAGAGCATGGCTGACCGGCTAGGGCACAGTGGAGAAATTGATTAGTTCAGGCTTCGGATCTTCAGTATATTCAAAGAGTTTCATCAAGCAAGTGAATTGCAGAGTTGAAGTTTGCTTTTGTAACTCTGAACTCTTCGATTGTTTGGTTTTGTTTTCCTCTAAAAATATTGTATTTGATAAGGTGGTATTGCAATTCCATGATAATTCTGTCTGCAGAGCTGGATAAGTATTCTTGTGGTTTTTAGAGGTACACTTCTTTGGATCTAAAATGCTGGTAAAAGAAGAAATATTATGACAACCTTTTTTTTTGAAAAGTAATTCACTGAATATCTAGACAGAATAACTAGAGTAGTGTTTGACTTCGTTCTGTACCATAGCTGCATTAGTCTTGTGTTTTGTGTGAGGTGACTTTTGTAGGATTTGTGATTTGGAGACTTCTTTCTTGGATTTTTTTTTTCTTCTCCTAAACAACTTTCTGGCACACTGTAAGGAAGCCAGCATCCATATAACAGCCTCATTTGGTGCGATATGGATGTTGTTTTCAGAAGGTCTTTGAAAAGAACATGTAACTTCAGTAAATGTACTAGGAATTAACTTCAGGTAAAATCATTTAAGTCCACAAGATTAAAGTGTCAGAACTGAGGTTTCTGCTTTGACCTTAACATCTGTATAATGCAAGAGTTTAATGTTCTGTATGCGTGGCAACTATAACTACACACCCAGTAGGCAGTGATATTTCAGAAGCTTTTGAGATTTATGACAGACCATGTTGGTTCTAGCTGGGGAGAGTAGAGCACACTTACTCTGTGTATGCCATTAAGAAACGAATAAGGTTTTGAAGGCATAAATACATTTCCCTTGACATGAGACTCGGATACTATGCTTTTACATGCTAAGTAATTCCAATTTCCGATAAAAGTAGCAGCTTTGTGTTAAAGACTCTTGATTTAGATGCCTGCGATGAGAGTGCCAAATGGTGTTACAGCTCAGTATGTAGGTGGTCTTAAATTACAGGAAACAAAGAAAAATCTACCAGTGGCATTCTTCTGAATTTTCACCACTGATGATAAGTTCTGAGGAGGCTTTTGGCAGATAGTAATCATAATTCTTATTAAAACCGGTGACGTCTAGCCCCAAGGGAGTAGCCAGGCTCAAATTGATGCTTTTTGCTGGCTGATCACCAGCATGGCCTAAGTGCTCATTATGTTGTAGAGAGGGCCCTTGGAGCTCTCATTACATTTGACAGGAATTCTCTCTAGGGGGAAACTGGGCATTAGCTAGACTCCTGACAGGCTGAAATTATTCCTGCTTTATGGCTTATAACCAAATGCTAGCAAGGCATCATCAGGGGACACAAAAAATTGTCATTTCTGACAACATCTTTGTTACTGAAAAATGCAGTGATGGGGAAACTTTCCAGTGAACAAGCTTTAACGTTTTAAGGCCTCTCTCCTATGTGGATGTTGCACTCGCTCTGTGTGAAGCCTTTCAGAGTGCTTGGGCTGCTGTTTGGAGAAAGAGGAAAAAAAACCAAAACCTACACTGCAGCAGTGTTTCTTTATGCAGTGTGGTGTGTACATCACTGTTAAGGTAGAGTCACTTCCATAAAATGAAGTAGTTGCAGTTTGCATGTGAAAGGGTTGATTGACTTCTTGCACTGATACAGTTGCATCAGCTGTTCCTTCTTCATATAATTTGGTAATCTATTATAATTTGACTAAAACAAAGTTAGTCAGGACTTGAATGTTGCTATAAACAGACTTGAGGTGAACTTTCCATACACGAGTAGCTTTCTACTTGAATATGTTGCATTTGAGTCCAGAAGGGGCCACAGTAAGACTTCTTCACAACTTTAGCTTTAGCACTTTGTAGTCTTTAATTGCATAACTGTGTGCTTAAATTGAGGTGGTGCTGCTGCATTTCATCCTGCTGGCTGAACAGTGGTCAGGAAATAATCTTTTTGCCATATTTGTGGCTGGTTTGTGGGTTTAGGTTTTTTTTTTGTCTTGTTTCTGTGAGGGGTTTTTTATATTTTTTTTCTTTAAGAATTTCCAAGATTAGTTCTTAAGAGGATGTTCTGTGTGGATTCTTATACTGTTTACAGAGAAATAATTTTAAAGTGAATAGTTACTGTGGCTAAGTTTTGCATACCTGAAACAGAAACAAGCACCTGAGGATTTGTTTAGGATAGATGTGCTTGGTTCAGATACTGTTTTTGTATCTGTCAAGAAGACGGAATAAATAAGGACCTTTGGTGTGGTCTTAAGTTTCTCTTCTGTGTTACACTGTCCAAGTCAGATTTTCCCCACTGTGATATCCATGGCTGGCAAAGCAAATGCATCAACTGCTAGTGCTAAGATGTAGAGTTGGTTGGGTGTTAAAAATTCTGCTGTACTTAAAGGGTTGCTGCCCTTGGCTATCAGGGCAGCAACTCTTTATTTTCACCAGCTCTGTCTGTCATTTTATGTCAAAAGTCAGAAGATAAGACTTCCTGTGTGTTTAATGCTTAGATTGTTTAGGTGCAAGATTAGCTTTTGTTCAGTG